CAGTGGCTGGGCTCTGGTCCTCTCCCAGCTCAGACAGGGACAGTCCTGCGCTTGGTTTCCCCCAACACTGGGCCCCACCCCACCCCTCAGCTCCCTGGCCCCATCACTGCCCATGCTCTGCAGATCCCCCCATCTTAGACCAGGGCTGCTGAGTGCAGATCTGTGCTAACCAATCTGGCCTCGACCCTGGGGCTGCCCTGGACCTCAGACGCCCTGCCAGGTATCTTTCCCGGGTGTCTTCACCTTTGGGAGCCACCTTCCTCCCATCCCTTCTCACACCATGGCCTCCACTGTCAGCAGATGCCCTGGTCCCTGCCCAGAGCCTAGAGTAGAACAGAGAGCAGAAACTACTGGGACGGTCATGTCCTTGCCAGGGCCTGGGATGGCACCATGCAAGGATCACAGAATTCAAACCTCAAATAACCCGCTAGGTTACTGTCACCTCATTTGACCACTGAGGAGGAACCGAGGGATAGAGAGATAGCCCATGACTGCAAGGGACCTGACCACTCGCCCCTCCATTCTCACTTATTTCCTTGTACCTGGTTAGGGTTCCCTGTTTATTCGAGGGGGGTGGAGGCAGAGGAGCAGAGCCATGGGCCTGAACATCAACAGCATCTCAGCACCTAGCAGGGAGCCTTCGTTTCCATGTTTCTGTGATGATGGGGACAAAATCCCAGAGGCACCCAGCTCAGGGCCTTCCGGGCCTTTCCTTCCCCGAACACAGCAAAGCCACAGTTCTCACAGGCCCACAAGGCCCCACCTGATCTGGCTCCTACCCTAGTGGCCTGCTCTCCTCACCCCTGGATTCACCCCCAGTAGCTACACAGGCCGTCCTTTCATCCTTAGAACAATCCAGTGTGTTCTTACTTTAGAGCCTTTGTAGGGTGTGAGGAGTAACATCGCGTCCCCTCAGAGTCAGGTGCTGGAATCTCAACCCCAAGTACCTCGGCGTGACCTTACAGACAAAGGAAAGGTTTTCTCAGAGCTGACGATGGTCAAGTGAGCTCATGCAGATGGAACCTCCTCTAACAGGACGGCTGTCTCCATACAAAGGACACATTTAGAGACAGACAGACACAGAGGAGAACTCCAGGTGAAGAGGAAGGTGGAGCTCTCCAAGCCCAGACACGGCCACCATGGCCAGCAAAGCCCCCGAAGTGAGGGGGGAGAAATGGGACAGACCCTCCACCTCCATCATGAGAACCAGCATCAGTCAACACCTTGACCTCAGTGGCTGGCCTCCTGAACCAACACGGTTCGTAGTTTGAGCCACCCAGCCTGTGTGACCCTGACACAAAACCCTTTCTCCAAAGAAGACCCTTTCTTCAAAGACGACACAGATGGCCAACAGGCACATGAAAAGAAGCTCAACACTCCTAATTAATATTCAAATACAAATCAACACTCCAATGAAATATCACCTTACACTGATCAGAATGGCCATCATCATAAAAACCTATGAAGAATAAATGCTGGAGAGGGTGCAGACAAAAGGGAACCTTTGTACACTGTTGGTGAACAGTGTAAATTGGTACAGTCAATAGGGAGAACCGTATGGAGGATCCTTAAACAACTACAAACAGAACTACCAGATGATCCAACAATCCCACTCCTAAATATATACCTGGAAAAGACAGAAACTCTAATATGAAAATATACATGCACCCCAATGTTCATTGCAACACTATTTACAGCAGACAAGATATGGAGGAACCCAAATGTCCATCAGTGGATGATTAGATAAAGAAGAAAGAAGATGTGGTTTGTGCACACACACACACACACACACACACACACAGGAATCCTTCTCAGCCATGGAAAATAATGAAGTGATGCCATCTGTAGCAACATAAATGGACCTAGAGATTATCATATTAAGAGAAGTTAGGCAGAAAGAGAAAGACAAATATTGTATGGTATCACTTATATGTGGAATCTAAAAAGATGCTACAAAAGAAATTATTTACAAAGCAGAAACAGACTCAGAGAACAAATTTATGGTTACCAAAGAGGAAAAGCAGGGGAAGGGATAAATTAGGAGTTTGAAATTAACAGATACACAAGACTATGTATAAAATGGTATTACTGTGGTGCTGGGGAAGACTCTTGAAAGTACCCCGGACAGCAAGGAGGTCAAGCCAGCCCATCCTAAAGGAAATCAACTGTGAATATGCATTGGAAGGACTGATCCTAAAGCTGGTCACCTGATGGGAAAAACCGACTCACTTGGGCTCTGTCCTCTCTGCCCCTGAGTCCCTGCTCCTCACACCAGGTCCCCAATCTCTCAGAGACCAGGGTGTCAGGAAGTCAGGACAGGTCTAGTGTGTTCTTCTCACCCCAGGGGCTCCCAGGGCTGACGACAGAGGCGGGAATCTGTGGGGTCTCTTCATTCCTGCTCAAGGACCTCATCTTGTCTCTGGGTAGGTCTTCGGATTCTCTCCTCTCCCCTACGAAGCCCCAGCCCTTAAACCAGGACTCCAGTCGCCCTGAGAACCAGATGTCAGGAAGTCTGCTCCCTATATCAGGACCCCAGTCTGAACCCCGTATGTTAGGAAGTCAGCTGCCTACACCAGGTCCCCAGTTTGAGATTGGATGTCAGGAAGTCAGCCCCCTATACCAGGTCCCTAGTCTCTCTGAGACCTGGATGTCAGGAAATGCAGCATATGTTCATCCACCCTATGTCCTCCCAGAGCCCACTCTGCTCTGGGGTTCAGGGTCCCCTCAGTCCTCCCTCAGCATCCTCACCTTGACCCTCCAAAGAACTAAGATCTTCCCCTCTGCCCAGTTGAGGCCCTGCCCCTTCTGACAGTTGCCTAATGTATCTGAGACACAGATGCGGAAGTCAGAACAGGCTGCCAAGTGCTCATCCCACCAGCAGGGTGGCTCAGGGCTGACAGCAGGGGTAGGCATCTGTGGGGTTCCTTATAATCTCCCTCAGGGACCTCATCTTGAGCCCTGGCAGATCCGGGGAGGCCCCCTATGTTGACCAGAGGTGGGACCCTCACATCAGGGCTCAGGGAGCACAGAGGGTGGATGAGCACATGCTACATTACCTGGCATCCAGGTCTCAGAGAAACTGGGGCCCTGGGAGAAGGGGGCGTGTCCTCAAGTGAGCAGAGGGAAGAAGCCCAGCTCCTGCGGAGTTTCAATTTGGGGACTCTGAGGGAGGACTGAGGGGACCCTGACCCCAATCAAAACAGACCTCAGAGAAGCCTGTAGCTGCTGTTGGTCCTTGGTGGTCGTGGGGTAGGATGAGCCCAAGGTGCGTGGTCTCACTCTCTGACATCCGGGTCTCAGACTGGGTACCTTGGATATGGGGTAGGGCCTCAGGTGGTCCAATTCCCAGGTCTGGCGGGGTGTCAGGTTGAGGACCCTGAGGAGGAGAACTAGAGGACCTTGGACTGCAATCACAGGACACCTCAGAGAAGCTCGTTTCTGTTGTCAGTCCAGGGCAACCGTGGGGGTAGAATGAGCGCAGCAGGCACGGTCTGACTTCCTGACATCCGGGTCTTGGAGAGACCGGGCCCTGGTATAAGGGGCGGGGCTTCAGTTGGGGAGAGCCGAGAATCCCGGGTCCTGCTCAGAGGCAAGGCGAGGTGCCTGAAGGAGGGCTGAGGGGACCCTGCGTGAGGACCGACGGAACCCCACAGATCCCCGCCCCTGTAGTGGATCCTGGGAGAGCTTGGGGTAAGAAGAGCACACTGCCTGTCTGCCTTCCTCACATGCTGGTCTCAGAGAGACGGGGGATCTCGTGAAAGCGGCACGGTCTCAAAATGGCGGACGGAACAGTCCAGGACAGTCCGCGGTCCTGCCTGGAGTCCAGGCTGCATTTGAGGATGGAAAGAGGCAGAAAGACCCCAACAGGGAGACAGGGATCCTGGCCCTTGTGTGGACTCTTGGGGGCCCTAGAGCGGGGCGAGCAGATTCTTGGCCTCTGGCTTAGGGACCTTGGGAGGTGAGGTTTTTCCGGCGGAGGGTGGAGACTTCAGGTCGGCAGAGGCTGGACTCCCCAAACCCGAGGGGGGACTGAGGAGACCCCCGCCCCTGTGGTCAGTGCTGGGAGGACAAGGCAGGACGTGAGGAGGAGTTGAGGACTGAGCATCTCCCCAGCCTAGGACCCACAGGAAACCCTAGGTAGGTGCGGCTGCTGCATGTGGAGCCCCTTAGCGCTTTCTGTTCAGGCTCGGACCTTGTTCAGAATTTCCATGCAGGTCCCCATAGGGGAGGGACCAGGCCGTGCCAGGGGAAAGGTGAGCACTACAAGGGAGCCGTGAGGGGACCTCCTACCACACAACTTGGGGGACCTCGCAGAGTCTACCCCTCATACTGTCATGGAAGGCTCAGGGCTGTGCCACAGGATACCGCAGAGCTGCCCCCTCCCTTTCTCTCACAGGACTCCAGGAATCAGGAGAGGAAGGCAGAGGACTGAGGCTCCAGTCCTGAGGTCAGAGGGCAGAGGTGGTCCAGGCAGTCCCAGGAGTCAAGGTGAGGAGGGTGCCCTGAGTGTGCACCAGGAGCTCCCCATCCCAGAGCAGAGGGGACCCCACAAGGGCCTAATCCCCCACCTTGTCAGCCCTGGAAATGTCAGACTGTGCTGACTGCACAATGAGGAGACACCTCACTTCCTCCTTCAGGTAGCCAGTGGACTGGCTGCCCTGGAGGCTTGCCCCTGTGAGGTCTGAGAGCACCCCTCAAAAGGAGACCTGTAAGTGGCCTGTGTGAGACCGCCCAGGGTGTGGTTCTCAGCTGAGGCCAGTCACAGCCCCTCTCTCCCCTAGCCTGGCCCGTGATCCCCATCTATTCTCCTGCCTCACTCCTGTCTGTGGTTTGATCCCAGGCATCGTGCTCGTGGTCGAGATGAGTGAGCTGAGCAAGCCCGAGGAAGACTTTCAGGACCCTGGCGAGGCCCAGTGCCCAGTGAATTGTGCAGCTCTTGGGGGCTGAGGCAGAGGTGGCTGCATCGGCCTCAGCCTCCTCCCTCACAGTGTCCTCCGTAGCCACTGGGGAGTTCTTGCCCCCGGAGGCTCTGAAGGAGATGAAAGCTAACCTGATAAAGTTCCTGCCCTTCAAGTATCTAGCTAAGGAGCTGACCTCCCAGGCGGAAATACTGAAGAAGGTCCTCAGGGATAACCAGGAGCACTTCCCGGTGGTCTTCAGCCAAGCCTCTCATTGCCTGGAGCTGGTCTGTGGTGTGGAGGTGAAGGAGGTGGACCCCCGGGAGCACATCTACATCATGGTCCCCAACCTGGGCCTCACCTGTGATGTGATGCTGAGCAGTGGGCAGAGCATGCCCAAGGCCGGCCTCCTGGTGCTGATCCTCAGCCTGATCATGCAGAATGGAGACCGCGCCCCTGAGGAGAAGGTCTGGGGAGCACTCAGCAGATTAGGTGTGTGTGTCGGGAGTGTGCACTGTGTCTTTGGGGAGCCCAGGACACTTCTGACACACGTGTGGGTGCAGGAGGGGTACCTGGAGTACCGGCAGGTGCCTTACAGCTACCCTGCTCGCTATGAGTTCCTGTGGGGTCCCCGGGCCTATGCGGAGACCAGCAAGCGGGAAGTCATGGCATTTCTGCTCAGGATCAAAGAAAGGGCTTCGAGGGCCTTCCCACCCCTGTCTGCAGAGGCTGCAAGGGAGGAGGATGAGGCTGCCTGAGCCAGAGCAGGATCCAGGTGATCCTTCCCTCTGTGATTGAAGACGGAGCAGTCAGCCTTCTCAGAAGTGAGGCCCTGGGGCACTTTGGGGAACCAGTGTATAGCATCTTTGGGTTCCTGTTCTCTATAATGACTTGGAGATTCACCTGTTTTCCTTAGAAAAAATTCAAACTTTGCTTGTTTTCATAGAAGACTAAATAAACTTCAGTGTCTTAGCTTCACGAATGATGCTGATCACAGTGCGTTTGTGCTTATCCAATTCATGAACAAGAGTTTTGCTGTTTTGTAAAAGATATTGGAAACTCTTCCATTGTGTTTTGTGGTCCTGAACAGAATGCAATGGAATTGGAATTAGAACTGTTTTGGAAAAGTGAGCTTACTTAGCAGTAACATTGATGGGGGATGAACTAGATGATAAAAACAATTGTAGAGAATTCATGCTTCTGCCCTTCTTGTGTGTCATTTTCAAAAACTAAATTATCTCTTGTGCATTTGGGTTTGCCTGGGTTATTTAAGGAAGTAGCAGATAATTAATTGAGCCCCCTGCTCACTGGCTCGTGTATTCCAAAGACCTTTATGGAGCCTCTGCTCTGTGAAAGGCTGGGTTTGTAGTGGGGACACTAGGAGAAGCAGGACACCCCTGCACCTAGAGCGATGCTCTAGTAGCCCTAGTCACACAAAGAAGGTGGAGAGAAGTCCCCTAGTCACACTAAACAAGGCAGCATGGGCCAGGGCGGTGAGGCTCCAGGAGGAGCCCTGGAATGTCAGTGTCTGAGCCAGAGTGTTCTGGGGCTTTGGGAAGCTGGGTTCCTTCTGTGGGAGGTCATCGTGATGAGGCTGCATGATGGCATCCCTCAGACCTGCCGACAGTGTATCTTGGGGGTGACAGGAAAGTCTGAAATGAATCATTGGTGTGAGGTGTCCTTTTGCATCTTGGATAAAACACAGAGAGATCTCTTGCTGGGGTGGAAAGGAAGGGGTCCTGACAGTTGTTGCATTGCTGTTGACCACAGGGGCAAAGGAGGTGTTTTCTACCACTGCCCCACCATCTGCTCAGAATCCTGGAGAAAGGTGAATGTTGCTTTGAAGTATGGCCAAGTATTCCCTGGGTTGGCCCTCTTCTCTCTGTCCTGGGAAAGCTGATTACCAATATATTGAAATGAGCACTGACTTGGTCATCTGGACTTTATTTTGGCCACTTGTGAGCATGGTCTAGATTTCAGAGGGATGAAATGAGTGAATGTGGGGAAATCCTGCTGGGTGACTGGATCCTGGGAACTTTGATTCCCAGCCAGGAAAGACACTGTTTCCCACCCCCTCAAACACACACTAACAGCCAAATTGAATAATATAACCTCTAGGAGGAAAACACACAGAGCCGCAATTTTGACTGGTTTTCTATTCCGTTTCCTATTGAGCTGGCAATCCTATGAGGTGTCTTGAAAACAAAGCTATTTCCAGAGGAGAGAGGGACAGAGTCTGAGATCCGAATAACACAAGAAATAAGTGCTAGCCAGGAAAGATGCAACATCCACCAGCGTCCCCGGGTTCATGCAAGTTCAGAAGTGTGGAGACAGCAGAGACTCACAGGCTAAGGCTGTGCCTGGCATCAAATGACAGGAGTGAGTTCTGGGCCTAAGGAGGTGGTGAGGTCACTGCAGTGGGGTGTGCGTGTGGGTGCAAGGGGCTGAAGGGGCAGCTCTCCATGCTGAGTGCCAGAGAACAATGGGAACAGGAGATGTGATTCTGGCCACACATGTGGTCACTGTCACATAGTCAATGGACACTTGTAAAAGGTGGAGAATTTCAAGACCCATGTGACCTGCTCAGACTCTCTTCCCCAAAACATAGGAGATTTTGTCTTTTTTTTTTGAGATTTTGTCATTATAAATTCTGACTGCTGCTCTTTGTTGAGCATCTGTTAGGCAGTGTGGAATTGGAGAGATGTTAGGTGCTCCGCCACCTCTTGTCTTCCTCTCTCCCTGCACACATGGGGACATGAGCCTGCCAGGCCTCTTCACTTAGGAAGGGTGATGTGATGACCCGTGATCAGTGAACTTTGAGAAGAAGCATTTTTGTCATGACCATTTGTTTTGAAGGGACACAGGCACCTGGGAGTTAATCCTCAAATCAGGACAACACTAAGACCCAGACCACTCCGAGTGAGGTTTTTCTTCCAAAGACTAAAGTCCTCTGACCCTTGAGAGAGGCTGCCCACAGGGAGCTGGCTACAGGAATTCCACGCACCCCCAACCCACAGCGTGCCCCCACCCCCGCTGAGCTGCACTGTGAGTCCCCTCGGGGTTCTGCTCGGTCTCCATCAGAAGGACAGCAACCAGCTGTCAAAGGTCCCTGTTGGAGTTGGGAGCATCCTTCACATCCTTCTCATGGGCCCCCGCCACATGCCACACCCCTCCCCCGACACACCTCTGCTGCCCACAGTGCCCTCACTCCCTCAGAACCTGGCCTTGGGTTTTGTCCTACCTGCCCCCCCCCCCCCCCGAGAGTGGCTTAGGCCCTGATCCTGATGACCTCATGTGTGTTTCTTTATCTGGAAATCCCAGAGCAGCGTCCCCTTCCACGGTGCTAAAGGTGGAGCTGGCAGGACTTGACTCTCCTTGTGGACGCTCAGTAGTAATCATTGCCACGGATGCATGGGGCACATCTCTATGATCCTGAGGTGTATCAGACCATTCCCTGTGGAATCCCACGTGTTGGAGAAAACTCAGCGTCTTTAAATGTGACTGTAAGGTCATGGCTTTCGAGGTTGAGTATGAGAGGCAGAGGGGTGTCTGGTCAGCCACCTACAGAGCCAACTAGGAGCCAGTCGGACTGTTTGAACAGAGGACAGGCTCTAGCAGATAGCAGGGGTGGTACCCAGGATGCCCTCCTAGGTGCCAGAGGCTCCAGACTCAAACGAGGATTTGGAAAGGAACCAGGCAGGAGAGGACACTGTGGTCCCAGGAGTGCAGGCTGCAAAGAGAGTCGGCTGCCCCAGAGAGGTGGAAGCAGCAAGCCCCTGGAGATCCCATCTGACCTGCCCAGGGCTGGTCAGGAGAGGGAGTGGGGAGGAGATGCTGCTGCAGGTGAGCTGCCGCCCTGGCCTCCATGAGATCATCTGTGCTCTGAGGCCAAGGCCGGGACCACAGCCCCGGGGGGGGGCACTCCAGGATGGACATGTGACAGCCATCATAACAGGTACTCCTCATGCCCCTTATTGGATATGACTGTTAGGTGTGGGTGGGATCTTGCTCTGGGTACCTAAGAACCTCAGGCCTTTGGCTGCTAGGAGGCCCAAACTGCCCCCTGCCCCCACCGACTTATCTGGAGGTCATTTTCAGGATCCAGCATCTTCAGCAGCCGCCTCTCTGTGAAAACACACCACACTGTTCCCAAGCTGAACTTGCCTAGGGCATCACCGATGGGACAGGCAACTCCCCTGGCTTAAGGATTCTCAGTGAATGTTCTGCTCCTCTGAGAAGTCCCTGTGTTTCCTCATGGCTTCCCTGGAGGCTCAGTGTTAAATAGTCAACTGCAATGTGGGAGACACAGGTTCGATCCCTGGGTGAGAAGATACTCTGGAGGAGGAAATGGCATCCCACTCCGGTATTCTTGCCTGGGAAATCCCATGGACCGGAGCCCAAGGGCGTGGGTGGGCTACAGTCTGTGGGGTCACAAAGAGTCGAACATACTGAGCGACTAAGCACGTACACACATATGCACAGCTTAAGTTTTGCTCTGGACCCTTGTTTCTTTGTCAAGACACTGACCCCTGCCTGGCACTTGTCAGACATCTGTGGCAAATAACACTGGCAGACGTCTTAAAGTGGATTTTGAGCAATACAGGGTTCTAGGTCTACACCTGGCCTCGATTGGTGGCTCTTGTCATATCCAGGGAAAACATCTATGAGTTTGGATAAGGGCAGTGTTTGTGGGGCTTGAGAAAAATTGGATCCAGAGATGTTTCTGTGGTGGAAGAGGCCTGATTAGTTTATTATATGAGACTGAAGGTTAAGGGAGAGGAAAAGCTGAAGATAATTTAGGAAGGGTTGTTTCACACCTACAAGTTCCGTGTGCTTGTGCTTGGTTTCCTTTCTATTTCCTTTTTTAACATACTCAGCATGTTTTGCCGTAAGTTTCCTTGTGTCTTTTATTTTGAAACTGTCAATAGATTTTATTTTGACCTTTTCCTTTGTAATCCTTTAAGATTTGAATAATATTTGTGAAAATAGTGGAATTCTCATATGCCCTCTGCCAGCTTCCCCTATTCCTAATATCTTACATTAATATGATACATTTATTACAATTAATGAGGAAGTATTGATGCATTATTTATTGTCAACTGAAGCCCACACTTTACTCAGATTTCTATAGGTTTTACCCGCTCCAGGATCCTGGCCAGGAAATCACCCTAACATTTAGTTGTAATGTCTCCTTGGGTTCCTCTTAGCTTTCACAGTTCTGTGTTTTGGATGATCTTGACAGTTTTGAGGAGTACTCAGTAGATGTTTTGAACAATGTCCCTTGATTGGGAGATTTGTCTGATATTTTACTCATGACTAGTCTGGGATTATGAGTTTGGGGGAGGAATATTACAGATGTAAAATCCCATTCTCATCACAGCATAGCAAGTGTGTATTCTATTAGTACAATTCATCATTGGTGATGCTCTCATTGATCATGTGGCTGAGGTAGTGCTTGTCAGGTGTCTATGTGATAAAGTGATTGTTTTATGTCCCCTTTCCATCTGTCCTCTTTGGAAGAAAGTCACGATGTATGGTCCATGGCTTCAGGGGTAGGGAGTTAGACTCCACTTTCTAGAAGTGGGAGTGTCTGCATAAACTGGAATTTTTCTCTGTGGGAGAGTTGTCTATCCTTGTTTGTGGAATTAAGAAATCATTAATTTTTCTCAGTATGGACTCATGGTATTTATACTGCACTTTGGGTTAAAATCCAATACAACTTTATATACTTTTATTTTCAAATTGTTCTCAGATTGGC